GTGATTTCCTCCCCCTTTGCCTTCAACACTGCTGCTAGGCCTGATAGGCCCGAATAGGACTCCACGTGGAGTACAAGATGGCTGCCCCTGCTGTAATGAGCTTTAAGTACTCGAGCCAGGAGCACTAAATGGAGAAATTAAGGGGTCCTGCTGCCTAGCTGGGATGCTATTTGCAGCCAGGTATTAATATCTCCCCCCCACACTGTTGATTTATTTTATTTTTTTAAAAAAATAATTTTTTTTAATTTATTCAAAATGGCGGCCGCAACTTTTAGACAGTAATTAAACCGTTCCGCGGCCTCAGCGTGGGGACCTGAGCTCCCCAGGGAAGCAGAACAGCTTTTAACATTAATTGGTGGCCAAATTAGCCCCCAACAGCCACCGGTTGTTTGGACTTGCAACCGGAGTTTAGGCAGCCAAAATGGCGTCTGCAAGGGCTCTGGGCTGCTTATACAGCCTCCGACGATCCGGATTCAGGCTTAAATCCGAGTCAGGAGGCTGCAATTTGCCCCAAATGTGAGGCTGAAAGCTGGGGAGGCTGGGGAGAAGGCGCAGCAAGCAGTCTCTGCTGATGCCTTCAACACCCCCCCCCACCCAGGGCCCTGGGAAAGGCAGGAAAATTTCCCCCCCACCCACACACACACCCCACCCTTTTAAAAGGTTTTGAGATCAGAATTGATCTCAGCAATGGTGGGGAAATATTAAGGGAAGATTAATTTAAATTTGCCAATGAAATAAGGGAGAATTCACCAATGTGTTTCTTTATCTAACCTGCTGAGATGAGAGCCAAGTCAAATAAGTCTTCTAAGAGCAGAGACCAAGTTAAGACTGGGTCTACTAGCAAGAGGGGTGTGGCAAGTTTGGCTACTTGGTCTCAAGAGCAGGCAGACAGTGAAAACCCATTGGTGAATTCTCCATCTCCTGTACTGGAGAAAGCAAGGTTCTACATTTAGGCAAGAAAAACCAAATGCACAGGTATAGTATAGGGGGTACCTTGCTCAATAGTAGTAACTGTGAGAGGGACCTCGGAGTCCTAGTGGACAATCACCTAAATATGAGCCAGCAGTGCGCTGCAGCTGCCAGAAAAGCCAACACAGTGCTAGGCTGCATTAACAGAGGGATAGAATCAAGATCACGTGAAGTGTTAATACCACTTTACAATGCCTTGGTAAGGCCACACTTGGAATACTGCATCCAGTTTTGGTCACTGCGATGTAAAAAAGATGTTGAGACTCTAGAAAGAGTACAGAGAAGAGCAACAAAGATGATTAGGGGACTGGAGGCTANAGGACAAGAAGCAACGGGTGGAAACTAATCAAGGAGAGAAGCAACCTAGAACTAAGGAGAAACTTCCTGACAGTTAGAACAATTAACCAGTGGAACAACCTGCCTCCAGAAGCGGTGAATGCTCCAACACTGGAAGTTTTTAAGAAGAGACTGGACAGCCATTTGTCCGAAATGGTATAGGGTTTCCTGCCTGAGCAAGGGGTTGGACTAGATGACCTCCAAGGTCCCTTCCAACTTTACTACTACTACTACTACTACTATTACTACTACTACTACTACTACTATTATTAAATTAGTTTTGATTTAATTATTATCGTCTTTATGAATAGTTCTATGGATTCTTGAATTATTGTGATCTATATTCTGGGTTCTCTCAGAAGGAAAAGTGGTAAAAAAATAATGCCATAATCTCTAAACAACAAAAGTAATACAGAAAAATTTCAAGAAATTGTTTTAAAACAGCAATACTTTTAACAACACACCCTTTGTTATCCCAAGATGGCAAATAAATTCCCAAGACAAGATGGTATTCCGATCAGCGTTGGAAAATGTGATTACATCAAGAATGGAGACATACAACAGTTAAATGCACTAGGCCAAAAATTTAAAGCTTTCAGAACCATTATACAATTTAGAATAATGGAAAAGTAAAATGCAAGACATGTTCACAAGGATAGTACACAAAATGGGTTGTTCAATTCTACAAAAAAATGTCATTGCTTCCAGTTGTTTTAGGAAATGAATTATTTTACCTTATTGTAGAAGTCTAGTTCTCTGGGTCCTCGAGGAGGTGGCTGCAATTGTTTGAGAACAGTGCCATCTGGATGCTGCAATATGCCTGAGATACAAACAAAGCAAAACCAAATATGCTGATCTTCAAACTACAATATAATTTCAGTTTTACTTCATAATGAACAGAAATCCAAACACAGAAGAGCAATTTTTAACATAAAAGCCCAAGAAATCTAATTTAGAATAATTTCTAATTATTTATTTGAAATAAGAGAGAGAGAGAGAGAGATTTAAATTAGGATAACATGGGTCATGACTTCTCAAAATCAAACAGAACAAAATCAAACAGAACAAATTCAGTCCTTAAGTTACTAATTATACATTTTATACATTCCATTATTAGTGATTTTATGATCTGAGAAGCTCAGAAATTAGTTAAGATTAGGTTCAATGTCCCTTACTTTTTATAAACTGCAGGAACTATGATACCAGTTTTTCATTTTCTCATACTGAATACTTAGTATCTTTATTTAGACAATGTTTGTTAATAATACTTGTTGGATAATCAATGAGAAAACATAGTATTGCCTTTTATAGAGATGTATACAGATGATTAATTTTATCAAAACTACTATCCGAACATTTCTGGGCATCAATTTAAATTTAATTCTAACATCAGTTGTGCCAATTCTGTGATGTTGAACTGCAGCTTATTTTATCTTTAAAAATTACATTTAAAGCCTATTGTATTCAGAACAGATTCTATACTTTAAGATTTATATTACAAGAATTACATTAGCTAGATCAGTGGTTCTCAACCTTTTTAATGCCGTGACCCCAACCAGTCATAAGTCGAGGACTAAACCGGTCGTAAGTCGAGGACTAAACCGGTCGTAAGTCGAGGACTTTCCCTGCCCGGGAGTGCCACGCATGCGTGGTTCCGCCCCCTGCGCTGGCTGAGGCGTAGCTGGCAAGCGGCAGAGACGGAGCAGGCCGACCACCAGCTGGCTCAGCCCAAGGGAGGTAAGGCACCCGCCGGAAAAGGGGGAAAAAAATGGCAGACAAAAAAAATGGCAGACAGCCTTGCTTGGCGACCCCCATGAAATGGTCGATCGACCCCAAATGGGGTCCCGACCCACAGGTTGAGAACCACTGAGCTAGATGTATGCCTGGCCCACCTGTCCGTTAATTAGAACCACTCTGATTCACAGCAGTCTACAGTACTACTGTAACTTTATCCTAGTATCTCTGTTGGAACTCTTGGTCTCCTGCCTCTCACTGAGAAATTTCCTAACTGGCAGCTTCAGAATTTGAATCTTGAAATGCTGGTAGAATTGATGTGGGTCTCTGTATCCAAGGTGAGTGCCATTTAATCAGCATACTTCAAGCAAGAAATGTATTTCTGTGTGATACATATTCCTTCGTTTCCATAATTCTTACATCTGTAACTTTCAAGTCCACTGCCACTTCCTTTCTTGTCTACCTGTCTCTTCTATTATCACATTTTGTCAAACAGACAGCATGTTAGCAGGCTATTGCAAAAATAAATCATCATGATTTATTTTAGTAACCAAATAGTAATCCTAAACCTAACCTTAGCATATAAGATTTCATAGATTAGAATTCTACTACTCCAGATGTTGTGAACACTAGCCATTAGAAATCCTACTTATTGCAAACAATTTGCCAGGCACAAGGAACCAGAAAAAACACAATGAGCTGATCAGAGTGGAATGTTTATTATTGCTCACAAGAATCTCACCAGACTAAAGCACACACTACATAGCTACTAGATAAATACTGATACAAGTTTTAAGGAGAATCTCCCTTTAGCCGCTTCCTCTCCACAAGTGATTCAAGGTTAGTCAGCAGTTTCACTTCCCAACTCAGTACCAGATCCCACCACACAATTGTGTATAATATATATGGCTGGCTAAACCTAACTGAAACCATATTCTTCTTTAAAAAAATAACAATGATCTTGCACCATGTGTGTGTCTTTGTCAGTCTTGATTCCTGGTGACTATATGGAAAAGTCCATGCAATTTTTTGACAATGTTTTCAAAAGCAGTTTACATTGCCCTCTTCCTAGAAGGCTAAGAGAGAATGAATGTCTCAAAGCCTCCCATTTGGTTTCCCATACTAAAGCAGCACTAAAATCCAGGGTTTCCTACCACTAGTCCTGTGGTACCGAATCTATGGCACACGTGCCACAGGCGGCATGCAGAGCCCTCTCTGTGGGCACGCGCATCGTCGCCCCAGTCCTAGGCCTTCAACCCCGTCCATGAGCAACCTGCATCAAAATCTCCCTGGGCAAGTGGCTTTTTAAGCTGGGTTTTATAAAATGTTTTCGCTTTAGGCCTCCGCCGCCGTGTGCAAAAAAAAAAAAAAAGTTCAATCAATCAAACAATTTCAACTTCTCAGAGGAAAAAAAAGATCTCGCAAAGTTGGAATTGATTGAACTTTATTTTTAGTCCCACATAGCGGCGGAGGAAGTGACGCGTTGGAGCTGGAAAGAAGGTGCCGCGTGGGGGTGGAGTGGAGCGGCAAGAGCAGGGCGCTCCGTGCAAGGGGTGGGGCGGGACAGGGCCTGTGCATGGGGTGAAGCAATGCGGCAGCACTAGCATGGTGGTAGACCAGCTGCTTCCCTCCCCCTGCCAGACACCTGCCGAAGCCCGCCCTGCCCCACCCCTCCCAGCCTCGCCCGTCACACCCGTCCATTCCCCGCTTTGCCGGGCCTCTCCTCTTCCGGCTCTGGTTTGCTGCACCACGCCTTTCCTTGCTTGGGCCTTGGCGTTCTGTAAGCTTGGCGCCCCAGGGCACACCCGGCCTGTGGGATGAAAGGCGCGGAGATGGGAGTGTGCAGTGGCACAAGCCGAGCATCAGCCGGCTCCCATTCGCCCTCTCTGCCACGTTGTAGGGCCGGAGAGGGGAATGCAGCAGTCATGCAGAGCCGCAGCCTGAAACTGCTGGTGGCCGGCAACATGTGGCAGCTGGAGAGAAAGGGTGAGAAGGAGGAGAAAGCAGGAAGGGTTACAAAAAAGAGGAGCTTCCCCCTTCTCTTTTTTTTTTACCTCCTCCCACTCCATTCAGGTGCAGCTGGAGGAAAAGGGCGAGAAGGGGGAGAAAGCAGAGAGAGTTTGTGTGTGTGTGAGAGAGAGAGAGAGCCAGCAGGGAAGCAAAAGTGTGGGGAAAGGAAAGCGTTGCAGAGTAAGCAAACTTACAAAAAGGGGATCTCTCTCTCTCTGTCACACACACACACACACACACACACACAGATCAGGGGCGGGGCCAGTTTTTGGGCACTCGGTCTCTAAAAGGTTCACCATCACTGTTCCAAAGCATCAGAAGGCAAATAATAGATGGAAACTAATCAAGAAGAAAACCAGCCTAGAACTAAGGACTTGTGAAAACAACTAAGCAGTGAAAAGGCTGGCCTTCAGATGTTGTGGTTGCTCCATCACTGGAGGCTTTTAAGTAGAGATTGGATATTCCATTGTCTGGAATGGTATATGTCCCTTGCTTGAGCAGGTGAACCTTTTAGAGACCGAGTGCCCAAAAACTGGCCCCGCCCTTGCTGCACCCCCTGCCTGCCCCCGCTCCACCCCCACCCCACTTGCCCGCAGGGCCACTCACCGCATCCAGGGTCCGCCAGGTCTCTTCCAACTCTTTTTCTTTGAGAGAAGTGCTGCCAACCTCTCCCCCTCCCCTCGTCACTTCCTAGGCACAGAGAGAGGGAGGGAGGGAGGGAAGGAAGGAAACAGGAAGAAAGAAGGGAAGGAAAGAAGGAGATGGGAATAAAGGGAGGGAGACAGGGAAGGAGGAGAGGCAGGGAGGGAGGGAGGGGAGGGAAGGAGAATGGAATAAGAGGGAGGGAGGGTCTGAGGGAAGTCTTGCCTTAACACTTGGCCACCAGCAGCCCTGTTGCCCTTTCACCATCTCCTGGTGATCTCCCATCCTATTGCTGAGGATGCTTTGGTTACAAAGCCAGCTCTCCTCGCATGGAGAGGGAGTGAGCCTCCTTATGACCCACGCACTTTGCTCTCCTGCACTCACCATAAGCAACCTGGCCAAGGAGAGCGAGCACAGAAGCAGTAGCATTGAGGAGGTAAACACAGCTGGGTACCCCCTCGGGGAAGTGCAGCTAGGCTAGGCAGGGCTGTGGGTTCGTGGTGCCATGGGAGCTCAAAGGCCAGGCTGAGCACTTGACCTCCGCTGCCCAGGGGTCTAGGCAGTCCCTGCCACCGTCCAAGGGCCCCCTGCATGTCCTGAGGCTCAGTGAGGCTCCTCCAGTGGACCATGCCCCAGCGCTCGCCCTGGTCCCATCCCCCCTTCGCCGGAGACCGTCAGATCCGCCCCAGTCCTTCCCAGGCCTGCATAAGTGCCCCTGACACAAGTGACGTCGAGCTGGCCATGCCCACCCAGTAGGCCACACCCACCCAGTGGGCCATGCCCATTCGGCACCTGACAATAAATAAGTGGGGTTTGGGTTGCAGTTTGGGCACTCGGTCTCTAAAAGGTTCGCCATCACTGCCCTAGTCCAATAACTTAATCATTAACCGAATTGGCTCTTTAATTTTTACACCCATAGTTAAAAAATAACCAAGGCTCCTATTTTAATATATGTATTATGATTATAAAAACACTCTTTGAACTCTAGAGAAAGCATAAAATTTTACAGGTATAACTGATATAACAATATAGTATAATATATAACAATATTGTCAAAGCAGCAGTGATTTGTGGTATTATTTCAATTTATAATTGTTGTGGTACATATGATATTAACATTTATTCCTTCTCATAACTTTATTTTAAAAGATTTATACACAATAGTTTAACATTATCACAGAACTAGGATAATTCTGCTTTTGCTAGTTCTCGAGGAGATGGGGCAGGGAAAACCATGCAGAGCACCAGGCCCCATCTCTAATCAAGAAATCAAGAAATATTTTCCAACTATTACTTTGGCATCTGAGAATTAAGAATCCATTCACGATGCATTTTTAATCCTATCAACATAATCCCAACTGCCATAAATGTTTTTAAAGTTTTTAAAAAACCAAGCTGCTAAAATAGCTTAATTCCATCATCAAAACTATATAC